TCCTGTCGCACTCCCAGCTGCAGAATTCGATGGTCCTAGAAAGAATTGCACAGTTGACTCGGCTGCTCTAGTGGCCGCGTTAGCCGGTAAAAGAACGTTTATCATAACCCTGTTTTACAGCAGATCTCGGCATCTTCTTCATTAGTAACCCTAATATATGAATACTCTAGCAGATACTAGCACTACTTCAAATCAGTCAACCTCTGTCTATTATTACTTATCTGTTCGAATGAGGACAGTTTATAGGTTTTTATCCCACCAACTGTGAAGAAGAAAAACAGCACTATGTTTCAATATAAAGAGAAGAGCAGAATGAATTATGTATAATTAACCGTTACGGCTTAGATTAGACTGTTTTATACATAAGGTCCTGTGAACTATGCATAAAATTTAACTATGCACGAAAGAACGTTTTCAACCTCTCATGAAAAACGGCTAACGGTCGACCAGCACGATTAAAGTAGAAGTTAACAGTAATGGATTTGAACGATTAAAATTGACAGAGTTATCAGAAGAAAAAGGCAGACGAGAACTGTTATTGTTACTATTCTGACCTCCACTATTATTATTATTATTATTATTTCGTCCATAAAAATTTGTTTGCCGTTTTTGAGGAAAAACCCCGGGCGACGGGGTGATTGTAACGGCTCATCGCCATTACATTATTCTCCATGCTTGATCTTATCACAGTTTCTAGAAATTCTTAAAACTTCGTAGTTTCGCGGGTTTTATTGAGAGAGATAATAGAAGAAAAAAATTATTTATTATATATTAATTTAATACAAGGCGTTTCCGGGGAACAAAACGAAAAACAAGTCATAATTGAAAGTAAATTTCGATTCTTTTATCATTCTTGTCAATTTGTCGTGTGGAAATCCATGTTTCTCCACCAGAACTTCATGTTTTCCCCTCAAGAAACTGATGTTTCTCCACAAGAACTTCTTGTTGTTTCGTGTAGAAATCGACGCCCCTCGACAAGAACTTCATGTTTTTCCTGAAGAAATCGGTGAAAAATTCATTGCCCGCATAACCAGTACTAGTGTGTATCTGACAACCGAATACATGATTTTTGTTCTAACAAAGCATGACGCATGTAGATCGAAATGTCTGTAAACTATGACGTATTGTCACCAACGTTGCTGAATTGTCTTTTCTACTCACTCTCATCTTCCCAGCATTGGATTCTACCCAGCAGCCATCTTGGCATGAGAGTGAGTAGAAAAGACAATTCAGCAACGTTGGTGACAATACGTCATAGTTTACAGACATTTCGGTCTACATGCGTCATGCTTTGTTGCCAATACCAGAAAACTTGACCAAAGAATATAGACTGATCCAATGTCCTCTTTCCAATGTCAAAATCATGACGTTGGTCTGCTTCTCCTCGTGCTAGTTTTTTGACGAACAGTTTCGACTATATTCATGTTTGACCACGTAATATATGTATGATGACTATGACTGGTTCAACTATTACGAAATGACTGAGAAACTGTGCCGTTCTACACAGTCTAAGAAGAAGAACAAAAGAAAGAGATATATCTCTCTTTCTTGTTTTATTTTTCCTTTCTGCTTTGTTTTCCACTTATTGTTATTTTTATTTTCGACATCTTACAGGCGATGACGTTCGGGTAAGTGACACACGCCACTAACCAATTTTACTAATCAACAGTTCTCTCTCAGCCCAGCTGACGAAGCCCTTGAGCAAGGCTGAAACGCGTATTGGGCAGCTCACTTTTCTTCTTCTCCGCTTTGCTTTCTGCTTATTCGGTTGTCTATTTTTATGATCAAACAAAAAATTTGGAATGACATTTGGTATCAATTTATGTATCCAAACGATATGTACCAAGATCATCATATTCCTAAAGACCCATCTGACGGACTGGTATTTCTATCCGAATCTTCACATCATGAGATGCAAAAACTTCCGCATCTTCTTCAATATATGGAAGATAATTACCATTCCAACCATACTGTACATGTTTTCACTCGAGAAATATCAAGATCGGAACCGACTGAAAATTTTCAACATGGATTACAACGATCTTATTCGGACGGCACGTTGGTACGAGTGTTTTCAACTAAAAACAAAGAGATATGCGTAGATGTTGATTTGCACGACAGAATTAAACTAGAGATCAACAAAAACCCAGAACAACGAACGAACGATTTCGATCAAGAAGAAAAACATGTAACATATCATAAACTTGAATATAATTATTAAAATACGTAAATATTTTAAACTGTGTAGCAGTTTTATATGCGTCATTCTGTTCACTCTTCTCACCATGACCCACTAATATATTTTGATTCATCGACGTGCTTTTTTACATAAAGCAAGTTAAGAGAAAATAATGAGCTTGATTTCATACGACTATGACCCAAATCCAATTAATCACACAGAAAAAGAGGCATGGCAAAAACTAAGATGGAAAAACGATGGCAATAATAACAACTAAGATTCAAACAATTCAGAAACCTAGTCTACATCAAACATGTACAGATGAAATGTGAAACAGGACTTTTTTAGATGAAACTAACTGAACTGCTAAGTTATTTATCAGAAATAACTAACTTAGCGGTTAAAAAACAGGCATATCAAATCCTCGAAAGTATCAACAGTCTCGTAATGAGGTCAACAGTACTACTACTCGTATGAACGAGGGATACTGTGCAGTAATTGAGACTATGATAGTTAAAAGTCATTCATATGAACTGAGAATATATTTTAGACTGTGCCTGGATAGCTCAGTGGTTAGAACTTCTGGCCTATTACCAGAGAGTCTGAGTTTGAGTCCCAGTTGCGGCATAACATACGTTTTCTTTTCAAATGTTTGCCTATCTGATTGTCGCTCTATCAGCCGTGTAAAATTCCAATTTCTAGTATGATTTGACCCTGCTCGCCAAAATATAACCGCGTAATTATGGTCGTGTAATTTGATCCAAAACTATACAATACCCGTTAATTACCTGAAAATAAGATCAACATGTAATGTTGCTACTGTTATAATTCACGTCTTATATCTGTCTGATGATCCTGTATTCAACCTTCGATATCGTGAAAACAGAAACATGATTATCACTCTCAATATAACAAAAAGTCCATTTAAAATCATCTATCACACAGTTAATTCGTCTTACATTCTATTTTTCTTATTCACGTAGATTCTACATTGATTTGTTACCATCAACCTGTTCGAGAAAAGGTATGGAAAAAATGTTTCTTAATGCAACAATAACGAGACATTCAACAATTACTCCAATAGTACTGATAAAATATGCAGCAACAGCAGCGAGTATAAAACGTTTTTATACAATGGTAATGTTAGAACGCTAAGTTTACTTATGTATCACACTACTCATCTAAGCGAGGTTAGTAAGTATGTTTTGTTTGAAAATAGCTATTATTTGTGTACATATTTATTTTTCAACAGAAATAAACGTACTAGAAAATAACTAGAGTGATGCTTCTAAGGTAAATTGTATCATTTGACTAGAATTTAACAAAAAAATTTTTAACAAGCAAATAAAAATATACATTAATACGAAACATGTCCGCAGACGAAAACTGCCGGCAGGAAAGTTATCTGCTGAAAAGTGCTTTTAAATTATGTTTGTGCGTGGCACTATAATCAGGAAATCCGTTGAAAAGAAAGCAACGCCGGAGATAATTAGATCAAAGAAAAAACAAATTCAATTAATATTTACATATTCTAAATCGCTAATTAAAAATCAAGAAGTCGCTTTTACTCTTTCTTCCTTCTGTTTCTTCGTGCTTTTTTGTAACTACCATGCTCATGCAAAAATAAAGTTCATTTCATTCATTTTACAATCATATTTAAAACATTTCATATCCTGAATCCGTGCTTATTGACTCTCTGTCATCTTCATTGATCCATTCTAATTCATTTTCAATGCGTTGTTGTTGTTCTTTCCACTGAAGTTTTTTCTCGATTGTATAAAGTAATCGAATGAAAATCAATATTGGAATAAAATACGTTGTAATGTTGAGAAAAAATAAATTTAAGCCGATGATATGGTGATAAATCATCGTTAGACAGATCAATATTGACGACAAACTTAGTAGGCGACGATATAATATCGATAAACGCCAAATTAAATGAATAAGCGCTAAACTAACTAGTATATTCACAGTTGTAGCAAATTTTAAGCATATATATCGAAAACACGGCTGATTTGGATCAGTTTCAATAATATTATGAATCGAACGTGATTCAATTGTTGGAAAACAGATTGTCGGGTTTTTAAAAGAACTTTCAAGTATAAAATATGGCCAAAACAAAACGTTTAGTGTCACGAACAGTGTGAACAATCAAACTACAATGCGCAAAATTACTCTGAAACGTTGTGTCACCGCGAGAAACTAGTCCGCTAAAATAATCCTAAAATATGAATTAATTAAATGCAGAGATCCATTCATTATACTATCAAAAACTAATGTTATGACTTGAGATACAGCTAGAATACGACAAAAACTCAGAAAAACCTGAAATAAGGATTAACAGTAAAAATTCGAAAAAACAAAGGTGCTCGGATAGGATAAAAAAGTACATCATTCGAGTCGGTTTTTGACGCTGACTCCGAATATGATGTTTTTATTGCATTAAAAGTGAGCTCTGGTGGAGAAAATAGAGAATTATGGACAGAATTCCGATTTTTCAGCTCCTGATTCAGAAAAAATGTATTTTCTCAGTAATAAAGCAAAATAAGTAAAACAGCCACACGTACTTTTAAAGCTGAATTCAAGGCGACTCGAATGGCATATGAAACTAGGTTCCATCCATTCACACAAAAAACTAGATAGCTTTACAAAATGACTCGCGCCTATAATCCATTTCTTTTGGACGTCCATGGTAGACGAACATTTACCTTCGAAATGGATATGATACCATTTCCTGATCCAATTTTGAATTTCACACTCATTCATGTCTTCTTCAGGTGTTCTAGTTACTTTGTTGGTTAAAAACTGTTCAGCGAGAATAATGCGTTCAAAGTCTCCCATCTCAAGTCCATTGTACGTTCAGCCCTGTTATGACTCAAGTTGTGATGAACATGAACCCATATTGGGAATTAGTTCACGGCGATCACTTCACCCTCAACAAGTGCCACGTTTGACTCTACAACAGCAGAATGATAAATTAGATGAGAAAATTTTTACTCATCAACAACGTTTAGCTTACCATCCAGAGAAAATTTCAGAATTAAAAAAAAAGGTGCTCAAAATCTCGAACGTCGAAGTTTTTTTACAAGATCAGTTTCGTATCAGTTGATAATTGGCAATTCAGTAAGACTAGCGTTGATTTTCTTCACTGTAATCATCTCGTAATCGATTGTATTACAACTTAACATTGTTCAATTTGTTCTATCTAACTGTCGTCGCTATTCTTTTGTTCAACTAGGATAATCTGGGTATTTTATTTCAACGTGGTGCTGACTTTAAATTCAGATGGTTTAACAGATTATTATCAGTATGGATGCTGATGGTCGTTTGTGCCATAAGTTTGTTTTTTTTGATGTTTTCCACACTTAGCAATATCGTTCCAATAACACTCGCTAATATACACGGATATAATCAAACATTGTTGAATTCAATCGATGATAAATTTGAAATTTTACACCAAAACTGTATCGAACCAAAACCAAAATTATGGACATATGCACAGTATCTTTGTTTGTTTATAAATATATATAATGGTGCATTGTCTTTTCTGGTATTTGGCGGACCGCATAAGGTTCTATGAATCAATATGTTTTGTCTTCTCTTGTAGCTGGCAATAATTGTGAGCTTTATGGCTGGGTATCACTCATCGAACGTTGTTATTGTGGCAGGCGATTTGTTTGCATTATCGATTAGCGCCACAATGTTGTTTATGCTTCAATCCGGAGCAGCAAACGAACGTGAAACTTTACAATAAATATATTTCTTATTGAAAAAATAAATATCTGCACTGTTTTTGTTACAAAGACTTGTTTTTCATTACAAAGCGAGTGGTTCTTTTTTTTGAAGAGGGTGAGGGTATAAACGGTTTCTAATTTCAGTCACTTTATTATTATTTTCAGATATTTTTATTTTTGTAAAAACTTGAGAAATCAGTTGATACTACCAAACAAAAAAAATGAAACTTGAAACATTAAAATATGGCATGTTATTCGTTCGAAAACAGGTCAGATGATTATAGTGTTATCTACGTTTTTCGAGAAAAAAAATGAACTGCACATAGAACTTTTTTGTATACCTTGTAGATTAATTGAATCGGTTTTGAACGCCTGAAAACCTGCAGCAGGTATCTCGAAAACTTCTTTAGGTAAACGTTTTAGTTTTACTTAGTTTTTGATTATGCACATGCTTTGAATTAAAGTCACTTCTGAAATCCGTCCAGAAAGTGTGTTTCTAAATTATATTCTCGATAATCACTTTAGATCTCGAAACTCAAACTAAGTAGATTTTTTCTTTTTTTCTACATTAGGAAATAGCTGTAAGTGTTCCCTTAAAATCAACTGTATGAAGCGAGCCGTTCCTTTTGAATAGTCTAGACGGAACATTGGATTTTTTGCTAACCAGACGACTTTTGATCATTTCGAGATTTAAGTAATTGACAATATTGATTAATGTAGCAATGTTTGATTTTAAGAAAAGAAAAGTAATGAGAAATCAGTTTAAAAAGCCACTCCAGTTTCATGTGATTTCAGTTTCAGCCAGTTTCAGTTTCATACATGTGATCACTCACAATCTATTTGAATGCCTTGAAAATGTCAAAATATATTCAAAATAATGTGAAGTGAAGCATTAAAAAAGGTCGAAACCAGAGATTTAGAAAAACTAATTTGCACCCATTTCGAAATCAGCGGAGTACTGTTAAGCACGACATATGGAGTTATACGTTTGAAGTTGGCTGAATACGCGGTGTTTGCTTGGAGGTAGATTTTCTTCCTGAATTTTCATTTCATTTCTTAACAGAATAAGCGTTGTCGGTAACCGGCCTTCCAGTTTGATAGCCGTTGGTACCGATCATTAAACTCTTAGAATAATGCATCGACCATGCAACTGAGAGATGAGTCATAAGTGGTGTCATTATTTCGATTCGATGTGGATCTTCATCAAACCGTATTATTTCTCAATATAAAACATATGAATTTAAGTATGGAAAAATTTAGTCTGCATATCTTATATTTTGCTCTCTCACTTCCAAAATTCTCTTGACTGAGAAAAAACTAGTCTTTCTATAGAGGTCTTCAATTTTGTAGCTCTGTCTGTTAATCCTTATTTCAGGTTTTTCTGAGTTTCGATCTGCCTTCTGCGCCACATGGCACTACAATGTGGTTTACATGGTTCAGTTGTTGAGTTCGACGCATTTGGTTTTGAGTCCATCAATGGCTTTTTTCTTAACGTGGAAACGGTAAATCTGATGTTGAGATGGCAAATGATCGGTTCTCTATTTGACATTGTACACGTCTCATACTAATCACAATTACGAAGATGCTCACCAAATGTTGTTTGCAGAAATGCTTGCAAATGAGAACTTTAACTTACTAGAAAACTTGCTTTTTGCCAGCTCATGAATATTTTTTGTTTAAATTATAGTTCAAGTGATTCGTTTCGTCCGCGGAATAAGAAATTTAACGTTATCTATGCGCAAGAGTATAACATTTCACAGCTACCTGCGGACAAATCAATACGTAAGTATCTGATTATGTGGTGTGAATCTCTGTTGGCTGTACAGTCTGTCAATTCTTTTCACTTGATAATGATAGCAGTAGCTGTCGAAATATCGTGTGGAAGAAAATAAAATTGGTCATAGAACATGATCTTTACGGTGGTATTATACTTTATTAAACTTCTCAATTTAACCACTTCTACTCAATCATTTCTATCTGATTAGCATCGATAGAAAAATCAGTTATGTAAAAAACTGTGGGTATCGAGAGATCCACCGTAGAAGTGCAATTCTGTGCAAAGGAAATCATAACCAGGTTGATACTGCTGGAATTTTTAACTATGGTGAAGGTGATGATGTCCCGGTGCACAATCAATTAATATTTTTCCATGACATAGTGGTATGTGATAGGAAAACGATTTGAGAAAAAACACCAGAGCATCAGTATCAGAAAATCAAGAATGTTGGATAGTTTGTGAACAATCATTCAGTTCTAAAACTGACGATGATTGCGATGAAGAGCGAGTCGCTGTTTTAACCGGACAGGAAATATTACTAAACAAATTGCCACCATTCTCTGCGCAGTCAAAGAACATAGAAATATGTTCAATATAAATGCATGATAAATCAGTTCCGACATTTTCATTAGATTGTTCAAATTTCTTTTTTCCTTATCTTGAATGATGAGTAATTATATCTTACGTATAAAAGCAGACAAACTATCATTTTTGTTTGGTAGAATACCCACGAATTTTTCTCTCAACAAGTAACAAATCTTAAAATTGCATGTGCAACTGACAAAAAACTCATTTTTAATTTTTCCAGCTATATGAAAAAGAATAACTTGTAGCCTAAGTTAGAACTAAAAGTAAGTAGCACAGCAACCAAACTTATGTTTCGTATAAGTCCGACACTATACATATTCTCTCTCAGTATATCAGAGACCGATTAAAGGAGCTGACGTTTATTTTGAGTAACATTTCAGTGGGAAAATGAACATTTTTTAGAACCTTATCCTCATAAAATATCCCTTTAATGAAGCAGGTGTTTTCGAAGTAGTATGATGGAGATATATTAGAAGTGTAGAACAGACTCACAAAAAAAATACCATTGATAACATCGAATCGATTGCACAACTTCAATCGTTGTATAGAATATAGAGACAGAACAGTGGATTTAGTTTTCCAGTTTACTGCAAAGCTAAGTTCATGTGTTCGAATCTGTATTCGTACAAAATCGGTTTTGTGTTTCGATAGTTTTATTTAGAATGCTATAATGGAATAGTATATTATTCCGCTTGTATTCTGGAAAGAAAAAAGCTTAAAACAAATACTGATGTTGGAATGAACACCAAAGGATTATTAATGACTCATTATGAGGAATGTAGGCAGATATAAAGTTTTTTACTAAGTCATTTGAGAGTGAAGAGTTGTTGAAGGCATAAGAGGAGTGACTTAGAGAGGACGACAATCCTGATGATAGCTCATTCAAGGCTTCAAGAAATAAGAACGGTTCCACGATTGAACAATAAAATCTTTATCTCCAAAATTTATTGTTCAGCTCCGAGCGTTATTCAGAAAGTTGTCAGATTAGTTTGCTAGTCTCACTCCGAATATTTTTAACTAACGGAAAGAAATGAATAGAATGAAGACTAATTGGTATTTGTACTTGAACATAAGTAGATTAACGGATTTGAATTCCTAATTTCGTTCTTAAGCCACTCTTTCAGCTCGAATTATTATGCCTGATGGTGCAGGACGAAAAAATTGTTTCGTAAAAATTTGCTATTTTTCTAGTAATGTCTACAACCATTGACTTAAATTTATTGCCAGGCACATTTTCTGAGCGACGAACACCATTCATGTGTCCTTTAACATTCCAATTATTCCGTGATATACGTCCGGCCGATGGTGTACAGTGGAATGATGGATTTGACAAGGGGCCATTGCGGTATTATATAAAATTCAATAGTAGCGAGGAGATGGTTTCGTTTCTTATAGCAAATTGTAAAAAAAAAGATAAGGTTAATGATGGTGACATGGTTGCATGAAAACGTTAAAAATTGGCACTAGATAGCAATGTTTTTTCAGGATTTTAATGAGCTTTTGTATGTTTGTTAATAATCCTTATAAATAAATGCAAGCTCGACTTCTTGCCGTTTGTGTAGTGAAAATTCAAGTGTGTGGGTGAAAAAAAGTGAGGGTGAGTGGAAAAGTTAAAAGAGTTTTGTGCCAGTCGCACATGCAATCGATCTGTCATGTATTTTATATTTAATTTTGACTATAAAACGATATTCACTAAAGCATCACACTCAAATGTGATGAAACGAACTCGTGCACATTTTCTTAATTTCCCTTGTCAAAGACGAAAAAAAAATCGTCTTAATTTCCGAAAAGTATGATAAGCCAGAGAGAGAGAAGCACAATCGTTTTCGAGAACGATAACAAGGAATGCGCAGTCGATCGGAACACAGTGCTATTTGTACCATAAATACACTACACAAATAAACAGAAATAAATATGAAGACCAACTGCCCTTCGGGAAGGTTCGAAAGTCGACTGACTGAAACGGCAAACAGACGAAGTTCGAATGCACTGCTATATTACAGAACCAGTATTCCACAACGTACAAGCACAGAGTTCTGAAAGAAATACTTGAAAGAGCTTAGATTATACAGAGAAGAAACTACAGCATAAAGTATAAGCATATACACGATATCAGCTGAATCATTATCGCATGAATCATTCTCCTATAGCTTTCATTATGATATCAGCTGATTCACTATTCTATGATACATTCTGCTGTAGCTTCTATGATATCAAGCATCATAGTCTGCATTCACTATGAAGTATATCACGTGACAATAAAGAGTGAAAACGACTAAATGTTTGAAAAAATAAACTCATTTTGTTTGACTAATTATAAGCTAACTAAACGAGATATCGAAAAAGTAACTTCAGATGTTTCCTCTCTGATCCCAGCACTACCGAATGATCTTTTCCCCAAATCTCTACGATCAGGAATAAGCGAGAACGAATGGCTGACTTTTACCAAAAAGGAGTCTAGCAAGAAAGAAAGAAGAATTTTGCTAGGCAACGCGCGAAGTGGAACGCAATATAGTCTACCATCGTTTCACTCAGTCGACTATAAAGAAGAAGAATTTTTTATGGTGAAACAGAATAAGTCTCCTTGAGTTTCAGTCAGTCGACTTAACTAGAAAACCAACTGCCCTTCGGGAAGATTCGAAAGTAGACTGAGTGAAACAGTAAACAAACAGTTAGAATATTCAGAAAGTCATACAAGTTAAGCGGAAGCTAATATCTAGATGGATTGCATTAAAATTCAAATAAAATTTGTCACTGGTCTATTGTTTAGTTTACTAGATTAAAACAAAAATGAGAATGAAAATCGTTCTGTTTAAGAAGCGAGAATTTCGTTTGCATCTTATTCAGTTTATCTTGTAGTGTATATTATGAGAAGAAAGAAAACATATACTATAACAGAGGTTGAGATTTTTTTATCATTTCAGTGCGTTTTTTACTTGCGTTCATATCTTTCGTCATTCTCCTTATATTGTACAATCGAAAGAAAACGTTACACAAAGGGAGGATGGTGTCTAGTGATCTGGCAATGTGTTGCGAATGCTGATTACAGATTGTTCTTGTTTGTAGCTCCTTTACAGTTTTCAAGTCCTAGCTCGTTACCAGAGACGACAAGAGACTTTCGTTTTAATATTAGCATAGCAAACCTTTGCCACTAAGAGAATTTTTGCTGAAGAAACCGTATGTGATTATGAGAGCAAAACTCCATTGTGGTAAGTATACTGTATAGTTTTCAGCAAAATACACAACTTTATTCAGTGTCTGTATCCTGTTTTTAGGTTTCGATGGACAGCAATATTAGTTAAAGATGTATTTAATGTTGATTATGTCTATAGTAGTTTATGGACGGTATTTATGGTTCAAATTTCTGCGAAAACAGAATCCTTTATGTGTTAGAAATTATACAGTATTAATAACCGGAACTGGTCAGTACTCCAAATTTATACCGAATGTTTCAGCATCTTCACAAGATTTTTCATTTGTATATATCTTAACTTAGAAATATAATCAAATTTTAACACTTTTAAAGATAAACTGTTTCATATTTCTTTAAGAATTGCATTAGTAATTATCTCTATAACTTTCTAAAAGTTTATAAAGTTACTACATTTAACGGCAATCTTTCCAGTAAAGCGGGCAATGATTCTGTCATTCACTTCGTCTTCTCTCTTATCATTTTTCTTACCATTTGAACCAGTTTGTTCGTGGTGTTGTATCGAATGATGAATTGTAGTACAGTTAACTGTATTTGCTAATAAACTTCCATACTTATAGCGTGGAAACAGTATTTATAGTCGCCTTAAAAACCCCTCAGAAAGTTATACAGATACATGCTACTGCAATTCTTAAAGAGAAATGAAACAGCTTATCTTTAAGAGTGTTAAAATTTGATTATATTTCTTAGTTAAGATATATCCAAATCGAAAATGTTCCAGACATTCTGGAACGTTCGCTAAACAAAAGCAGTGATCTAAAAATAAGTTTGTTTCGTAGATGGATGTCTTGAACTCAATAGCGAATTCAACAGCTATTGAATTCGCAAAAGGATGAAAATGGCTGACATTATTGGATATACAAAAAAAGAAACACTGAACGATTAGAAATATGAAGCGCTGATGATTTGTGCTAAAGATCATGTAAAAGTAACCACGCACAAATGTGATTCAAGGTAAGAGATGAAACTAATTTGATTTCGATAACACACTTTTACCTCTACAACACGTAATCGAGTTTATAGAACTTCTGTTCATGTATAGAACATTTTAAATTGTACAAGCGATGGCAGAAAGCATCTTAATTGAATCCTAATAGTTAGTCTACTTTTCTGACACATTTAACAAGCGAACGTTAAATGAGCCGTTATATCTTTCCATACCGTCTAATCGATTTTCGATCTCACTTATCTGATGTTCAGTTTCCTGTAGACGTTGATATAAAAGTGGTTCTAATAGATTCATAATAGTTGTCAAATAAACGTCTAAATTGAGTGCATCTTGTTTGGATGAAGAATCTGTTGTAGTTAACATGCCTTGACGTTCTTATCCATACGTGTTTTATCCTTTTACGTTCTTGCAGCAAACGACACATACGTCTTACTTGATGAGAACAAAAATGCGAACACGTTTAATTGACTGATCTGACAAGAGATATCATTGGTTGAACAGTATAATAGTGCGTGGTGGCATTCTTTGACTTCTCACGGGCCTAAGCAACATATTCATCCTCATGCGAAAGTGTTCTAGTCGATTGAAGTTCTAGTTCCAAGCCAATCTGATCAGTATTGAGAATTTCTTCAGATGCATAATCGTTCTGTTTCGCCGTTCGTTTGGGACTGATATGTTGTTGCCTTGATATGATTAACATCACAACAATAGTTTCAAATATATTTACCATAAACTGGCTTTCTATATTTGTTAATAATTGTTTCGGAACGCCGCATTGTAATATTATCTTTTCTACCAGGAACCTGGCTGCTGTTTCTGACATACCGTTTCGTGTTGAATGAGTAACAGCCCATCCGGATCAATAATCTGCGCACACTAAAATATATTTCTTACTCGCTGATGATGATCAACGCTATTACTTCATCATCACGTAAGTTACTAACTCGCTTTGTCGATGCTTGTCGGACCATTTCGAATGCTATGACTTTCATATTATCACAAATTTTACTCCACATCGGATTCTTTTCATCCATCTTTTTCTTCATTACATCTAAATTATAGTCCACTTCTGTCCTTAAATCTAAGGTTTCTGCGAGCCCCTCTTCTATACAGAACTTCCACCCTCTGCTTAACAGATTGATTTGCGCTGCAGTTAACTCCTTGTCTGATAGGTTGTAAACAAGTTTGTTCACATCGATCAATTTGCTAGTGGTGTGATCACATACCGCTTCAATTTCTTCTCATGTGTTTCACTTACTCTTTTCATTTCTTTTATTTGGAGATCGAAGAAATACGCCTTTATCCTATAGCGATGGTGAACTGAATTTCTGATAGAAGTCATTATCTGTAAGATGCTGTTGCTCTTCTTTTAGTTTCTTCAATATCTTTAACTTTTCCCGGTATTCTGATATTATTAAATATCTCTGTAATTTGCGAGTAAGGTTATGAAGGAATTTCGGAGTAAGGTTATGAACTAGACAGTAACGCAAAAACTCCACATCACACTGAGCTTTCACCAACTTTCGTGCTTTTTCTCTCCATGTAACGAAATCAAATCAACGAACATTAGCCATATCTCTCATGAATGCAATAAACCAAATCCTTTTTTAATAAGAGTGTTTTTTTAAAAATCTTTATTATTAACATAATTACAAAAACAATTTTAAACATGTTTTTGCAAGTTTCGAAGCTTCTTGCTTCATTATCAAGCAAAATTATTCATAAACTGAGAAAAAACAGACTATTTATACCCATAACATTATGACTCGTGTTCTTTCCTTATTGGTCATTTTCTCGACCAATCATTTTACTTTAACACTATTCAATCAGAACACTAGAGTTTTAAATGAGATGTCATTGAACGCCAATGCATGGGGCTTTTTTGGCAACAATGTCTTTTTGATCTCTCTTTTTCTCTCTTGCTTTTCAAATGCTAATGCGTTTCGTTCATCAAAGTTCATAGTATGTATTAATGTTCGAACATGATCTACTAAATTCAAATGCACTTCTCTTTTTTCTAGAATTTTAACATGCTGTTGCATTCTTCCTTCTACACTTAATCCGGTTTGACCAAGGTAGAATTTGTTACAGTCTTTACACTTTATGGCATAGACAACACCAACCTTTCTTCTTTAGCTTAATACACTGTCAATATCAAAAAAGCATGAATACGGCTTAACTAAATTTTCACACCTTGACAGATTTTGTAAACCGGTACAAGACTTCTTCCAGATGGTAAAATTAACTGGTAATGTCCAATAACCACCGATTGTAATCGCTTTATTTTGTTCTTCTCCGAAAAGTTTTTATTTTGTTAATAATTTTGTACTTGAAAGGAAAGTAATAAAATATTCCTTTGATTGCAAATCAAGTTGTCTGTCTGCGCGGTGTCTGCCTGAAGATGTTACAAAAAGACCTTATTGTACATATTTAGCGAAGCAGATAGATATATTCTACAGTTTATGTGACCGAGGTTAGGTACAGTGGAGCAAAACATCAAATTCTCGGAGTATGGAGGTTTTAAGTGTGAATAGTATAGATCAAACCGTACACGTTGTTGAAACGATGAACTACATAACTTTGAAAATAAGTAAGAAAGAGAAAAGAGTATAAACAGAAAGCTGTGGAATATCTGTCAGAATAAATAATCTAACCTCCTGGATCTTTGATTAAATTTTTTCGAATACCCTCAGGAAAAATAAAGAGAGGAATAGAGCGCACGGTGTTGTTCAACTTTGGTTTATGGCTTAAAATTGCTAAAGATTCTTTTATTAATAATCTATATGGATTATTATCTTTAAACAATATTTTAAAACCATCCCAATTTATTTTGTGTCTTGTGTCAGAAATATGTTTAGAAATCGCTGATTTATTTTGTTTTACAGTCATAGTATCAGAGGTCGAGTCGTAATCGTCTGAAAGTGATAAATTAGATACAGTTGTTAAATTATTTTTGTTTTTGTTAGCTATTCTAGAAAAGCGTCTCAAGTTGGTTGCATTAGAGTACGATGTGACACCTGTTTTAGTCTTCTTCAATGGTCCAGAGAGACTTTGAGTAGGTGCTGAGGCAGAACTAGGTTCAAGAACACATTTTGGTGCTCCATGTTCCACTAGTCTTCTGCACACTTGTCTTTCAGTTTTACCACAATATGAACCGCTGCAATCATTACAATTAACTGCATAAACTAAATTTGATTCAAGTAAATTAGGAATATTATCCTTAACTTGAAAGAATGAACCAATTGATTTTGGTGGTCTCATGATTATTTTCAAATCACATTCTGACTTAATTGTTTTTGTTAAATAAGTTAACTTTTTACTTAGTACTTTAGATGAATTTTTCACAAATGGCACATCAACAATTAGACGAATTTTCTTAGAATTATCTTTTTTAATGTTATTTACTGCTGTATAATGATTTGAAACCAACATTTTATTAAGTAGAACTCCTATTAAAGTGTCCACAAATGTGCGTGGATATCCATTTAGTTTAGTTATACGTCTTATTTCATCCAATTCATTTGATAGTAGATTATAAGTAGAACATATGCGTATGGCACGATTAATCATGCTATTAACACAGTTTTTCTTATAACTTATCGGTACATATGACGTCCAGTACACTAACAGTCCTGTATATGTTGTCTTTCTGTATATAGCCGTTTCAGATTTTTTTCTAGTCCGAATATCGTAATAGTATGCATTCCTCCGTTTTCCTGTAAGACCCCTGAGAAACAGCAGGGATTAATAACAAAAATTCTGTCAGTTTTCAAAGAGTCAAAATTTCACTAGAAGTAACTCTTAGTCTCAGCATATTCTAACCTTATACCATCAAAAATCAGTGAAAACAGCTTTATAGTTCTTTATGTACACGCAATTTACGACCATCATTCAATGCAATATGACTACGTGATGATACGTTTATTCCAATAGTACTCACTATCCGACGAGCATTTACTGATGTAGATAATTCGAAACGTGTTTAAAATCTCGTCTAAACACATTTAACCATACTAGTGATGAATAAAGAATTGCCATCTGAATCATTGAATGTATATGTACTTACTTCACAATCATGGGCAGACACGTTTCGAACTTTCAAACAACGTTATCAGGAATGTTTTCATCATAGTGAAAAATGAAACAGTTTATCTTTAAAAGTGTTAAAATTTGATTATATTTCTAAGTTAAGATATATACAAATGAAAAATCTTGTGAAGATGCTGAAACATTCGGTATAAATTTGGAGTACTGACCAGTTCCGG